TAGTAACAATAGTATATACTTCAGTTCAACTCAAACATTGGCTTGAAGCCATTTAGAATGAGGTTCTGTCTATGCTAGAATAGTGACATAGTGATTACATAATCCAAAAGTCAAAGAAAAAATTTCTACAAAGAAAAAATAATATAATATGTCAGATTAATAACTAATTGATAAAATATACATAAACAGTGCAAAAAGCTATAGAAAGTAAAGTATATATCTCCATAAAAATTTCACAGTGGGTGACCAACTATAATCATTCTAATTTAAGCATAAATAATTATTTTTTAGTTCCTAATTTGATATACGAAATTATAAAATAAATCTCAAGCAAAAAATAGGAATTGAAATTGTATTATCTTGTGGATAAATAAATAAATGTAATTTAAAAGTAATAATTTAAACTATTAAGTGCCAAATATTAGTTCATGCGAGAAAGTAAAGTAATTTATGGTCTATATATCAATTGATTAAACGTATTAAAATTATAATGACCACAACTAAAATTATATGGTGGGTTCACATTAAAAATAATTTATAAAAAATAGTACATTAAAGTCAAAAACCTTTTAACCACTGTATAGATTGTTTGAAATTTTTTGCATGTATAAACTATACTATCTAGTAATAGTGATGTGCATACTTAACTATAGCCTAATACATCTTAAGAACGACTTACTCTTCAATATCATCATTAATTGATGTATCTATTCATTACACTAAAAACACAATAAAAATTTAAAAAACTATAAAAGAAATACCCTCAAAAGTTTTTAAAATTGTAAAAAAACACCCTAAACTTTTATAATTTACAAATATACTAAACTATTAAAAATTATATTAAAATCAAGGAACTGTAATAAATCATTGAAAATTTTTAAACTTTAGAGGGTTAATTTGCAATGTACTAAACTTTAAGTTTTTTTTTTTTGTAAATTTCAAATCTGATAGATTTTAAAGTAGTTATGTTCTTTTTAAAAAAGTTATGGGTAATATTGACTATGAAAAGTTTTTCCTAAACCTATACTTTTAAAGGGAGTATGATATTTTTTAAATTTTTTTTTATTTTTAAGGGGTTGCTAGTAATTTTGTATATTTATTTTAGTGTCTATAGGTTATAAATTCTAATGGTGTTTTTTGTAAATTATGAATATTAGGGTTTTTTTGTATTTTTTTAAACTTATAGGTCTTTTCTATATATTGTAAATTGTTTATACCTATATTTTTAATTTACTAATGAGTTTGAAATTCTCAGAGTGTGTTTGTGAAATTCGAATTTTAAGTATTTGTTTATAGTTTTTAAACTTTAAGGGTGTTTTCTATAAATTATAAATTATATAGGGGATATTTGTAACTCATATATTTCCAATGTACTGTTAGGTTAGAAATTATCGAGATTTTTATAAATTTTACGATCTTGAGGGTTTTATCTTTCAATTTGTAAAATGTTTAGAGTGTTTATTACAAATTCCATAAATATTTGGGGGTTGTTTGTGTTATTTGTAGGTTTTTGTGTGTTTATAGGTTTAAAATTTTCAAGTTATTTTTTACAAATTTTGAATTTTAGGAGTGTTTTTATATATTTTTTAAAACTTACAAGATACTTCTCCAATGTCAAAAACTTTCATTTTTAGTTAGCATATATTTTTCAAAATTCTCACTAAATTAAAATAAGTAAAATTTATAATTTTTAAATAAAATTTTGAATTTATAGGGGGTATTTTTGCAATTTTAAAACTTAGAGGGTATTTTTTACAGGGTCCAAAAACTTTTAGGTGTTGGCTAACATATTTTTTAGATTTTTCTGCAAACTAAAATAAGTTAAAGATTTAAATTATATCAAATATATCACCTTTATCCAATAACATGTTAAGTCTTATTATGGATAGGATAAATCATTTAATTATAAATTCAAAGAATATAAAAAAATTAGAATAAAATAAGATAACAATATAATATTTTACAAAAGTTAAGGGTAATACTAACCATGGAAAGATTTTCCCAAACTCGTACTTTTTAAAGGGAGTATGATATGATATATATATATATAATTCCAAAAGAATGGAAGGACGTATGTGCTAAACCCCCTCATATTGAAACATAGAAGAAGCCACCTCCTAGTATGATATATATATATATATATATATATATATAAACTAATCCCACCAATCACTCTTTATTTAAAAATTCTCTCATTAAATCTCAAACCTAACCCCCACATTCATAGTCTTTCATCCTAAATTCATTGCAAGAATAATGAAATCGAGTTCTAGGGTTTCAAGTGCTGCTTCAAGCTATGATATGGTGGAAGAGAAAGAGAGAGAGTGTTTACTATTTCAAGGTGATTTCAAACGTATCTCCTTTATCCAATAATATGTTAAGTCTTATTATGAATAGGATAAATTATTTAATTACCACTTCAAAGAAGATATGATAATTAGAATAGATTAAGATAATAATGTAATATTCAAAAAAAGTTAAGGTTAATATTGACCATAGAAATTTTTTTCTCAAACTCGTACTTTTAAAGGGAGTATGATTAGATAGATTAGATAGATTAACTAATCCCACCAATTTCTCCTCTATTTAAAAATTCTCTCATTAAATCTCAAACCTAAACCACAAATTCACAGTCATTCATCCTAAATTCATTGCAAGAATTATGAAATCGAGTTCTAGGGTTTCAAGTGCTACTTCAAGCTATGATATGGTGGAAGAGAAAGAGACGAGAGTTTACTATTGCAAGGCGATTTCAAACATGAAAATAGCATGGATAATAGAGAACTACATGAGACTTTTTTTTTTGCTGTCCAAACTATCGAGCAAATATCAAAGTGTAGAGTTTTGTGTGGAAACATGAGATCTTCCATCTCCAAGCTCAAATGGTGATTAATAAATTGTTATATGAAAAAGATGTGTTCAAGGAAGGGGTGGACAATATTGGCAAAGAGAAATTGATAAGTTTGAAAGAGAAATTAAGAGAGAAGAAGAAGAAATTAATTGACGGGGAGAGAGAATAAATTACTTGATAACGAGAGTAATATTAGAGAGAGAGAAAGAGTAATTTTGAAATTAGAAACTCATTTGAGAGAGATGGATGAAGACTTAAGGGGGGAAAATTACAGTGAGTGATATTCTTTCCCTCATGTCCAAAAACTAACACAATCGGCACTTTTCTAACAGTGAAAAACCTAAAGTATTTTTTTGATACAAAATACAATGTATGGTATTTAAGTATCAGAACCAAGAAACTTTATGGTATTTAAGTCACATGTCCTCAAAAAAATTCATGTACAACCAAACAAAATTTTGTTGAATTTTTATCTCTCATGTAAATACTATTCAAAATACCTGTTGTGAACAAATTAGATTTTGAACACGGATTGGTAAAAGTGTGACGGTACTCAAAACAATCTAAAAACTTCAAGCTTAATAATCTAGGCATATATTAACCATATTTAGATCATACAAAATCATAATTATAAGAGAGGGAGAAGGCATTAACTTGCAGCACGAACAAAGTTAAATTATGATTGCAATAGAAAGTCAGATTGGTGTTGTTGATAGTCAAAAATACTACAAAGGTATATCTTATGTTTTAGGGTTTTTATGCAATTTCAATCATTGTAGGATTTGTTTAATTTCTTATGTTTTAGGGTTTTTTGTAATTTTCTTGTCCTTTAGGGGATTATTTATAATTTTTGATTTCTTGAGGATTGTTTTGTAATATTTAGATTTCTTTATGTTCATAATTTGTTTCCCTTGTATAGGGTATAACACAAACCAAAAGTACTAAAATGATTTTTTTAAAGTAATTAGACTTCCTAAAAATAAAAAAACTAAATTGGATCAAAACTCTTTGACGTACAGTTTGAGCTTGAAGCCGATTTTTTTTCACCCCAAAATTTGATGGGAACTGTTAAGCTATGCGACTTGTAGAGTACTTCCCGGTCTTTCTAAAAAAATATAATAATAGTGACTCTATGGAGGGAATCAAAAGCTATGCTCCGTTGAAGTTGCACGCCAAAATTTGGCTGAAAATCATCCTCTTTTCTTGGATCGCCCGAGCTTCGCACGATCCGAATCTTTCCCAAAAGGCATCAACGGCGCATCACATCATTCTTCAGAGGCAGTGGAAGGTACTGACTCCAGAGCCCAGTCATTCCCGTGGGTAGTAGAACTGGTGGAACCTTTCGTAGTTGTCCTCGTTAATGATGAAAGGATGTGATGACTTGTGGTGTGAGAAGAGGAGAAGCCAGGTATGACCACGGAGAAGAGGAACTCTGCTATGGTTTTCTGTGGGAGGTCATAGGAGCCTCTTTGCTTGCTTTGGCTCACTTCCATTCAACGGAATGAAATCTTCCGTGACGAGGGGCGTTTTGTTAGCTTGAGATTGTGAACTTTTATATAGTAGTGTAATAGTGGGAGAAAGGAGTTATAATGGCGTGGAAGTTAGAAGGATGAGAGGTTCAATTAAATGTCATTAAATTGAGGTAATAGTGTAATTAAAGATTAATGAGGAATGGAGAAGTAGAAAATCGTTATGAGCAAGTGAAGACCAAGAGGTTAGTGAGGTGATCATAAGTTTGGTGACTTATCATAATACCATCATCATGTTTTTTGCATATTCAATTATATTATACAATTTAAAATAGAATTAAATACACTTCAAAACCAACCAAACACAAGAAAAGTGAGAAATGTCAAATCAACAAAAGTTTTCCCTTTTTTTCTCATGCAAACCAAACACAAGAAAAGTAAAAACATTGGTTTCCCACCATTTTTTTGTGCGAACCAAACCAAAACAATCTATTTCTTAGAAAAGTTTGGAAAACTAAAAATTTGCGTTTCTTTATATGGAATTATATTTCCCTATATCTAGGAAACGAACCAAACAGCCCCTAAATAAACACCAATGTGATAAAACATGTCTTTTTTTAAAATGCCAATTTGGTACTTTAGAACCTGGGCGACGTGCCAATTGGTGTTGGATTCATATCCAAAGACAGCCCCTACCCGATTTAATCCGAAAACAGTTGTAGTTTCTCCCTCATCAAAACTCGCGGCCACAGAACCAAAAATCTTCACTCTCTCGGTTTCTCACTCTAAAATCAACAATGGCCTTTGGATCTCTCTCCCTCATCTCCTCCTCATCAAACCCAATCCCTAACCCCTCTCCTTCACCCTCCTCAGCTTTTCACGGGGCCCAGAGACCCCCGCGCTCTCTCCCCTTTCGCGCGCTCAGGCGACCGAGGGCAATCTCGGCGTCGATCGAGGAGAGAGACGACGGAATCGATCAGTTCTCTGAGAGCAACTCGATATCTGATTTCATGAGGTTTAAGAAAGGGGAAGGGGTTGGAAGAGGAGGGGAGGGGACTGGAGAGCTGCAGACTGCTGTCGTCAGCTACAAGAAGAGGTTCCCTTGGGTTTTGTTGCAGCCTTTTCTTCAGGTTTGAACGATTTACCAAGTAATTTTATTTTGCTTTTTGGGGGGTTAATTTGAAAGATGTCGCACGCTAAGAACCCATATTAGTCCTTGATGACTTTTAACTATTTTGTTGAATCCAAGAACACAGTTACTTAGGGAAGTTACCTTTTCTGTTTCCCCGTTATATCATTGTCTTGAACCCCCATTTGTGACGGCCGTGAAGCCAATGAGTCCTTCTTAACCCAATAAAATTTGCACGTTAGACATATAATTTGCACTCACCCCTGAGCAGGGACGAATCCAGACTTGTTCAGTTATCTGTGTGTGTTCGTTGGGGGTGGGGGTGGGGTGCAGTGTTAGTAAAAAAATTGTTATCAAAAGCTACGTACCTAAGAAAAACTTATTTAAAAGCTAGTGTATTACGCAAAATTGACGAAACGAAAATGCTAATATTAATTAAGTAAAAGGTAACAAGTTAAGAAAAGTCAAGTCAAATATCCCAACAATGTATCATCAGTTTTACATCCACACAGTGACATAGCCAGAATTATTTTTTGCCCTAGGCGAAAAATAAAGGTGGTCTACGAGTATGAGGAGCTCAGTGAGAGAGAGGAGGGAGGCGCGGGAGAGGGAGGAGGGAGAGGTCGTGGGAGAGGCGGAAGATTAGGGAAATGCTCGACAAAGTTGAAGAGAGGAAGGAGATGAGGAGAGGAAGGAGATGAGGAAGAAGAGAGGGGAAGCAGGGAGGAGGGAGGGTGACAATGGCGGGATATTCTTGCCCTGGGCAGCTGCCTAGGGCAAGAATACCCTGGCTAAGCCACTGCATCCACACAAACTAATATAAAGATTAAATAAATATTAACGACATTAGCTAAAACTTTCGAGCTGCCTTTCAGTCACGAAGCTTCTTAAACCTCACAATTTTTGTTGTCGATAAAGGGGTATCTACTTCTTTCTCTAACTCAGAAGTAAACCCAAAAAGATTAGATGTTTAGGTCTATTGCCATTAAGAAGAGGAGAAATAGATGAAAGCCTAATTCTAATCTAGTTGAACGATTGTCCTCAGCAGATACGAGAACTCCACGAATATCTACAGTCTTACCCCTCTCACTTTCTAGGATCCCAAAATAGAAAAAATAGCTTTTTTCCTGAATCTACAGGAAGAAGAAACGCAAAATTTAAATGCTAGTATATTACACAAAATTGACGAAACGAAAATACTAATATCCAAACAAAATTTAAAAGGGACAAATCTAGAATTGTTCAGTATACGTGTGTATTTTTTGGGGGGTGGGGGTGGGGTGGGGGGGGTGGTTGGGGTGGAGTGGGTCACAGTGTTAGTCAAAAATTGTTATAAAAAGCTACGTACCTTAGAAAAAGCTAGTGTAGTACGCAAAATTGACGAATGACGAAACTGAGATGCTAATATTAATTAATTAAAAGGTAACAAGTTAAGAAAAGTCAATTCAAATATCCCAACAATGTATCATCAGTTTTACGTCCACACAAACTAATATCAAGATTAAATAGATATTAACGACATTGGCTAAAACTTGCGAGCTGCTTTTCAGTCACGAAGCGTCTTAAACTTCACAATTATCTTTGTTGATAAAGGGGTATCTACTTCTTTCTCTAACTCAGAACGAAACCCAAAATGATTAGATTTTTAGGCCTATTGCCATTAAGAAGAGGAGAAATAGATGAAAGCCTAATTCCAATCTAGTTGAACAAAAGTCCTTACTGGATATGAGAACCCCACGAATATCTACAGTCTTACCGCTCTCACTTTCTAGGATCCCAAAATAGAAAAAAGGAAAAAATGCTTCCAGCCCCCAAAAAATAAGAAAATGTGCTTCCCACCCCCAAGACTTTATCAACGGCTGTTTTACCCCCAAAAATAAAAATTCTGTTCTCTGAGACCCCAAAACACAAAACCCAAGATATTAAAATATGTGAAGACCATAATACCCTTCCCTCTCTCTTTTTTTTTTATTAAAATATGATGAGGATTATTTTATTATTTTTGTTTTCTCTCTCTTTATCATGAAGTATTGAGATGATAGTTGAAATGATTGATGAAGATTATTTTATTATTTTTGTTTTTTATTATTTTGGTTGTTTGTATTGAGAGATTGTTAAAGTTACGGGTTAATTGTTAAGGTTACGAATTAATTGTTAATGTTACGGATCAATTGTTAAGGTTATGAATCCCCTCTCTCTCTCTTTCTTTTTTTTATTAAAATATGATGAGGATTATTTTATTATTTTTGTTTTCTCTCTCTCTTTATCATGAAGTATTGAGATGATAGTTGAAATGATTGATGAAGATTATTTTATTATTTTTGTTTTTTATTATTTTGGTTGTTTGTATTGGGAGATTGTTAAAGTTACGGGTTAATTGTTAATGTTACGAATTAATTGTTAATATTACGCGTCAATTGTTAAGGTTATGAATCATCTCTCTCTCTCTCTCTCTTTCTCTCTCTATCATGATGTTTCTTTGATGATATTAAAATGATTAAAGAGAATTATTATTTTATTATTTTTGTTTTTTATTCTTTTTGTATTTTTAGAATATTCGGGGTGGACCCACCAGTGATGACAACACTGGGGGTGGCCGTATGATTCCTCTTGAAGCTTATCCAAAACAGAATATGGGTGAGGCCAAAAAGATAAAGGAGCTCGAAAGAAAAATCGAAGCCCTAATGTCTGTTCGGGAAGTGAAGAGGACCGGCATTCCATGTCCTTACCCGAGAAAGTGGGATTCGATCCCGTATCCGGCGAAGTTCTTTTTGTATTTTTAGAATATTCGTTGTTAAGGATAATGGTTGGTTGTAAATGTTATGCATTGATTGTTAATGTTACGGGTTGGTTGTTAAGATTATGGGTTTATTGTTAAGGTTATGGGTTTGTTGTATAGGTTACAGATTTGTTATTAATGTTACGGGCTTAATTGTTAAGGTTACGGGTTTAATTGTTAAGGTTACGGGTTTAATTGTTAAGGTTACGTGTTTAATTGTTACGGTTACGGTTTATTAATTGTTAATGTTATGGTTTAATTGTTAAGGTTACGGGTTTAATTGTTAAGGTTACAGGTTTAATTGTTAAGGTTACGGGTTTAATTTGTTTAATTGTTACGGTTACGGTTTATTAATTGTTAATGTTATGGTTTAATTGTTAAGGTTACGGGTTTAATTGTTAAGGTTACGAGTTTAATTAAGGTTATGAGTTTAATTGTTACAGTTACGGGTTTAATTGTTAAGGTTACGGGTTTAATTGTTAAGATTACGGGTCAATTGTTAAGGTTATGGATCCCTTCTCTCTCTCCCTCGTAACCTTAACAATTAAACCCGTAACCTTAATAATTAAACCGTAACATTAACAATTAAACCGGTAACCTTAACAATTAAACCAATAACCTTAACAATTAAACCGTAACCTTAACAATTAAACTCGTAACCTTAACAATTAAAACCGTAACCGTAATAATTAAACCCGTAACCTTAACAATTAAAACCGTAACCTTAACAATTAAACTCGTAACCTTAACAATTAAACCCGTAACCTTAACAATTAATAAACCGTAACCTTAACAATTAAACCCGTAACCTTAACAATTAAACACGTTTAATAAACCGTAACCTTAACAATTAAACCCGTAACCTTAACAATTAAACACGTAACCTTAACAATTAAGCCCGTAACCTTAACAATAAATCCGTAACCTACACAACAAACCCATAACCTTAACAATAAACTCGTAACCTTAACAACCAACCCGTAACCTTAACAATCAATGCATAACTTTTACAACCAATCATTATCCTTAACAACGAATATTCTAAAAATACAAAAAAATAAAAAACAAAAATAATAATCCTCTTTAATCATTTCAATATCATCAAAGAAACATCATGATAGAGAGAGAGAGAAAGAGAGAGAGAGAGAGAGAGGGGGATTCATAACCTTAACAATTGACCCGTAACATTAACAATTAATTCGTAACCTTAACAATTAACCCGTAACTTTAACAATCTCCCAATACAAACAACCAAAATAATAAAAAATAAAAATAATAAAATAATCATCATCAATCATTTCAACTATCATCTCAATACTTCATGATAAAGAGAGAGAGAAAACGAAAATAATAAAATAATCCTCATCATATTTTAATAAAAAAAAGAAAGAGAGAGAGATGATTCATAACCTTAACAATTGACCCGTAACATTAACAATTAATTCGTAACCTTAACAATTAACCCGTAAATTTAACAATCTCCCAATACAAACAACCAAAATATTAAAAAATAAAAATAATAAAATAATCATCATCAATCATTTCAACTATCATCTCAATACTTCATGATAAAATCAATCATTTCAACTATCATCTCAATACTTCATGATAAAGAGAGAGAAAACAAAAATAATAAAATAATCATCATCATATTTTAATAAAAAAAGAAAGAGAGAGAAGGGTATTATGGTCTTCACATATTTTAATGTCTTGGGTTTTGTGTTTTGGGGCTCAGAGAACAAAATCTTTATTTTTGGGGGAAAACACCCGTTGACAAAGTCTTAGGGGTGGGAAGCACGTTTCCTTAGCTTTTAGGGGCTGGAAGCATTTTTCCCTAGAAAAAAATAGCTTCCCCCTCTCCCCTGAATCTATAGGAAGAAGAAAAGCAGGGAATCGAAAGAACAAAAAAAAGAAAAAAAATAAAAATAAAATAAAAAAAAGAGCAAGTCGGAGCCAAAATCATCGCTTCTGTTGTAAATTGTTAATGTAATATAATATTACTAAATGGTGGACCGCACGTTGCTTCTCTCCCCATCGATTCTCTTCTCCCTAACTAAAATAGCATCAACAGATTAATTTGTTGACCCTACTTATACATATATATATAGATATCACTTAAAAAAATAAAAAACTTTTTTTTGGGAAGGTGGGGTGGGGTTGGGGAGGGGGCGAACATTGGTTTAGGTTTGATGGGTTTATCAGTAGTTGTTTTCATGTTTCATGATCGTCAGAGGTGGGGGATGGAAGACAGGATTATAATAGAAAAAACAATTGCTGTCATTTTTATTTGGAATGCAAGGTTAAACTAAAAGAATTAGACCATTGGGACTAATTTGGGGTAATGGATTTTAGAGGAATTATTTTGTAGTATCAAGTTTTGGGGATTTATTTGTAAAATAGAAAACATTAGTTGATGTGGATTTTTTATGTTTTGTAGGTGGATTTGGTGTCAACTATACACATTGCAGACAAAGAGTATGACTTCTTACTGAAAAGGATCATGTTTAGTTCATGTTTTGCCTGAATTTGGTTTACAATAATATCAATGTCTAAATAACTGCATCATGCTATGCCTATTGATTGAGTTCCTCATAATATATCATATCAAGTTGATTGAAAAAAGGTAATCAGGTAGCAAATAACTAAATGTTTTATTGTTTTGTTAAGAACAGCTTTTAACCAGGCCTGACCGAACCTTTCTTCATGTTATTGCATTTTGAAACCAATATTTACGTGCCGTTCCATCATAAATTGCAAATGCAAGTAATAGCTCGTGCTTACAAACTGCTGAAAAGAAAAAAAGTGCCCGGAGATAAAAAGGACATTGCTTTCTACACCCAAGTTGAAACAAAACCTCAAAGCACCAAAGAGATTTGTATGTCAAAATATCTACAGACAGGAACCCCTCTGGGATAATCACATAGATCACGTATGCAGTATTGGGCCTTAGTTGTGTAATAGTCAGAACTCAGAAGCACATCATTCTGTATAGAAATCTTCCAGTTCACTGCTTCTACTTCCTTGGATTCTGCAGGTCCAACCTCCATCTTCCTCCTTTTCGAATTTATAGGAGCATTACCTATCTACAGTGCAACTAAGGAGCTAATAGAGTCACTATAATTTAACTGTGTAGGTTTTGATTAAAGATTCTCCTGTTAATTTCCTTACAAATCATTCAAACTACAGCCAACACGCTCATATCCCATTCATAACTCACATCTAGTCATCCAGTATAAAATATGTAGTTATGTATCTCCCCTGTCAGTTCGCAAATCAGCCAAGCACCTGGCTTGTCCTCCTAAATGTTCAAATTATGCTTCAAGGATGCCAAACAAGAGATACATAGAAACAGTGTAGAAAAATAAGAGAAGTAGTCTCAGCATCATATACATGAAACACATCGCTGGTTTTTGGAATCACTTGCAAAGCACATCAACAGTGTATAGCCTCTCTTGTACGCAATGACGTTAAGCTTTAGTCTCTTCAAATCTAGAAAATCTAAAGGAAGACCTCACAGTAAGTACGATCTTTCTCCCACCTCCACATTCTTCTATCCATTGTAATATTCCAAGGAACTGCCTGTGGTTGCAATATTTTGGGAACCAGGTGGAGAGTCCTTACTTTTGGACTCCATAGCCAAATACCTTGAGGAAACCGACTTGTGAGTTGTGACATAACTGTATCATATGGGTCCTAAGCTACTTAATATAAATTAGAAAAAGAAGCTTTAGGAGTATTCTTTCCGTACCATCTATTAATGCAAATAACAGTATCGTTTGCCTTTTCCTAATTCTACAGTGATATTCATGAGAAATCTGATGCAAACTGCCTTGATATCCCATCATGACTATAGTTCAGATATTTTCTCTCACTAGCTCCATCATGTGTCGATTTGTTTTTTTCAGCTTCCTAAGCATTTATAATTACTAATGCAAATATGCAGGTATTTTGACACACTGCAGAAAGAACTCCAACTATATGATTGTGTCCTCTATGAGATGGTAGCAAGCAGGGAAAGTCTAGAAAATAGAAAAAATTCTACAACTACTAGGAGGCTGAAAGCTTCACGTTCCAAGGGTTTCAATATTCTTGGATTTATACAGAGGCAGATGGCTCGAATCCTTGCCTTGGATTTCCAACTAGACTGTCTCAATTACCAGGCTGACAATTGGTTGCATGCAGACCTTGACTTTGAGACTTTTAAGATGCTTCAGGTGATTTAAATATCTAATATACCAGCATATTTATTATCCTTTTTAAGTCAATGTACCTTAGTTTGAACCATTGTCGAGCTCTCATGGTTGGTGCATCTTATCAGTGCATGAAGTTCTCTTTTGTAAGTACAGTTTTTTGTTACCTTGTTGTTTTTTATATATACTTAATCATCCAAGTTGCTAATGACGGTACATAAAAAAATGCAATGACCCATTATATACTAGGTAAAAGCATGTTGGATGCACATGGAGGGTCGCGATATTGCCTTTCTAGTTTCCATTCTTCAACTATTCCTATCCTCACCGTGTCAATCTCTTATTTGTTTCACTATGATGTGTAGGAGATGAAAAACAAGTCCATCTGTCTCTAATGATTACAAATTGGCAAATTGGAATTTACTACAGATGTATAAAAATAACATGGAGCATGAAGATCTTTGTCAATGCCTAATTATTTTATAGATCATTTTTATTACAATTAGGTTCTTTCGTATATGAATTGTCAAACTTACGGAAAGCGCTAGGTGCCGGATTATTTCCTAAAGCCTAGGTGCCTAGGTAGCCTACACGGGGCCTAGGCGGATTTCTTTTATTTTTAAATGGTGGAGAAGGAGGTTTTGCTGAAGGTCAGAGGAGGAGAAGATGTTCGTAGTTAGTGGAGGTCGGAAGATGTGGAGGTGGTAGCGGAGGAAATGACGACCAGGATCTAAATGCCACTTAGGCTTAGGCGGTCTAGGCAGCCTCTTTTCAAAACATTGATGAGTTATAATATATATGTATATATATACATATATATATATATGTATATATATGTAAATAAACATATATATACATATACATACATACATAGATATACATATACATACATGTAAATGTATATATATGTATAAATATATATATACACATTGTTGATGACTAAGATCAAACAGTCAATCGTATCCAGAAGAGGATAGGTTCGGTTCAGTGTCGATGAAGGGCCGCTTTCTTCCCTGACTTTATGTCTGGTTTTTGAATTAGGGTGTTGATCAATCTGCACGTGTAGAAAAACTCGTAAGAGGACGAGGATCAGTTCCCCCGTTGTACTTCCAACGATCAAGTTAGTTAATGAGCTTGAGTGGGAAAAGTAAGAACCATATGTTTTTGTGTGCAGTAATATGCTCGAAGGTCAGATTTGTGTTTTTAAAAAAGTCTCCTCTAAGTTCGAATGATACTTGTATTTATATCCAAAGCATGAGGGGTTAATTGTCACTTCAGCCGAGCATAGTGAGGCGGTGGTGAAGTGTAGGTTGGTAGCTGAGTTAGCTTTTGTTTTATAGGTGTTGGCTGGCGACTGGAGGGTAGATCACTTCAGCATTAAATGAGAAGTGATCAGTGGCGGGACAGTTTAGGGTCAGATAAATAATGCAGCTGTTATGCATTAAATACGATGCAGACATGTAGCCAGTGAGGATAGCTTCGTCGAGAAGTAACACCGTTTCAAGGTGGTTCTAAGAAGTGTTATGGACGAGTAGTCGAGTAGACTCTTGATGAGTTGTCGAGTAGACTCTTGATGAGTGGTCCAGGACGAGAGGACCAACTAACACCGCCTTTCGTGTCGGTATGGGAGAAAGTCAACTTGTCGAATCGGCTGTCAGATTCTAAGGGATCTGGGCCATCCAGTTGAGCGGGGCAAGACGTATGAAGATACATCTGTATGTTTGTCAATACGTCGTATGTCCATGGATCAGGAATAAGCTATAACACACATGTATGTATATAGATATGCACACATGAATATAATATATATATATTTAGTATATATATATATATAGTATATAGATTATTATATATATATATATATATCATATAATATAATAAATCCATAAATATCCTGTCATAGAAGGGACTTTCCCATTCGTTATAGTGGCGACAATCCCACCATCATCTAAAGTAGGGAGAGTGTGTGAGGGTTAGTATGAAAAAAAGGGAGATTTGTACCTACTTGTCATGAGGAATGTGGCAGTTAAGTGGGGATTTTGGTGGCCTACCTTTATAAGGATGGGTGGAGATTGTGGTCACATAGGGAGATAAGTGAAGGAAAATGCCCTCGATATGACAAATGATAACCGCACTTAATCTCAATAATGATATACTGTAGTGTATGTATATATTATATACATGAGTACATACATACCTATACACCACACACACACGACACACACATATATACTATATATATATATAGTATATATAGTATAATATGATATATATGAGAATTAATGAGTATCGCGCTTGACAAGGGAGGGAGATATCCCTCCTTGACATGAACTGTGACAGCAATGCGCGGCCCGACAAGGTGTGAAGTATCTCCTTGTCCTTCACATAAGTGGGCGCGATTGTCGCGACATGCATTGTCAAGGAGGGAAACCCCCTCCTTGTGCAAGAATACCTAAACAATATCTCTCCTCTATATACCATAGGTAATAGTAATTGTATATATATAAGGCTTGAGAGCCTCTTTCGTGCTGGACTGCCTCATCGGTACTCTATATATCATAGTAAGATATATATTATAGATACGAGTAGTATATAGTATATATATAATATAACTATATTATATTAGTACTAACATACATAAAAAATGTAAGAATGTTCCACCTTCTCATCTGCTCGTCTCGTCTATATAATATGTATATTATATGTATATATATGGTTTATCAAAATGTATAATATACTATGAGTCATAGTATATAGATATAAGTACTAGATATATCACATATAATATTCTTTCTCTCCTCTCTCTCTCTCTCTATATATAAGGCTATAGTATATATGTATATAATATATATATATATTATATAGTATATATAGTATATATTTGATAGTAGTAATATTAGAGCAAAAACTTCTGTCAACTTAAGCTGGACGTCCACCAAGTTTTGATCCATTGATGATCACGTTGATTGAGCTACATTTGTGGATGATCCGTTCCGTTCAAACTGATCTACATATTCAACCGCCAACACACGAGTCAGAGCCAGCGGACGCGCTGGCGGGCCCGAGCGAGAGCGCCAATGTGGGGTGAACTCGTTTTTGGTTTGACCCTCATCACCTCGTAATCAATGTTAACGGTTTTTCGAGTGAAAAGAACTTTTACATGGCTTAAGACGGAGGGTCACACCAAAACGATTCAACATCAAATTTGGTGTGTTGGGGTTTAGAATATGTGAGATCAAGTTAACGGAGCGGATCATCCAGAATAGTAGGGCTCAAACTCAGTGATCATGCATGGATAAGAAACTTAGTGGACGTCCGAGCTTAAGTTGACAGATATTTTGCTCTATAGTATAGTATATATAATAATATATATAGTATATATGAGAGCTTATGTATATATATGATGTAATATATGCATATAATATTCTCTCTCTCTCTCTAGCGCCAGGCTCCGCTAGCGTTCTCTCTCTATAATATAATATATATATATATATAGTATATATATATATAGTATGACTTATGTGCGACTTAAACTTGGATATGAGCCATCTACGCCGTCAATAACGTTTATCGCACCTCATCGCTTATCTTTTTTTTTTATTTTTTTTTTTTTTTATTTTTTTTTTTGTTTTTTTTTTTTTTTTTCGTTTTTATTTGTTTTTTTTTATGTATTTTTTTTGTAATTTTTTTATTTTTATTTTTTTTTGTCTTTAGATTTGTGCTATCAAGAGATGCACAAATCTCAAAAGGACTCTTCATATCTTTCTCGGATCCTAAAACAACATCAATGGATAAATAGTTGGTGGATGACTAGCTTGTAAGTGGGTTTGGCCTCATGGGCCAAATTATAACCCGACCTGGTTGTTAGTTTGAGATTTCTTTCGTTGGGGAACGAGTCTTACGGAGAGAAGAACGTGGGATATCTAGAAAAATCTAGACGGTTATTTGGGGATGGAGGGAGATAGAACGCCTATAAATAGAGAGGAGTTCATCACCTCTAAAAATGAAGAAGTCTCCATTCCGAAGTCCCCAAAACAATCAGCGATCTTTCCCATCATTGGTATCAGAGCCTCATCGATCCCTAATTCTTCCTGATTCTTCCCCACCTCTTCCTCAGATCTCCCCAAGAAACTACAGATCCCCAAATTCTCATCGCTTTGCTCTTTGCCCCGTTTAACTCTTCCTCTCTCTCTCTCGACGCCGATTAGTTGTTGAAGACTCACCTGAAGCCTGATCTAGCTGCCATCCTCCGATGTCGGCCCACGCCCACCTGCGTCTAGCTTCCTTACGTCTTGCTCCCTTCGTCGTCGGCCCGCGCCTATCATTTGCCAGTAGCCGCCCTCCGGCAAGACGCCCTCCAGCCGTGCCCGCAACTCGCCCGCATCCATCACTTTTCTGTCGCTAGTTATTTTTTTCTCACTGTAAGTATATTATATTATCCCACAGATCCACTTGCCCTCTGTTTTTTTTACCGTAAGACTATAATAGTGTATTATATTATCCCATTGTTTTAGGCTTATTGTGAAGATTTATGTTTTTTTTTGTTTCAAAATTTGGGTCTGTTTGAAAAAGGAAAGGGATTTTGTGTCTGATAATTTGGGAAATATTTTTTTTAATTTTTTTATTTACATGGTTCTTTATCTGGGAATTTTTTTTTTATTTTTTTATTTACATGGTTCTTTATCTGTTTAATTTGTTGTGAGGCTAGTAGTATTGTATAATTTGCTTGTATATTCATACAAGACTGTTTAATTTGTTGTGAGGCTAGTAGTATTGTATAATTTGCTTGTATATTCATACAAGAACCTCAATTTGCTATTTTTATAGTTTTTCTAAATACTAATTGTATAATTTGCTTGTATATTCATACAAGAACCTCAATTTGCTATTTTTATAGTTTTTCTAAATACTACAGTTAGAAAATTCCAAAATTTTAATTAATCTTTGCTTAACTTTGATAATAGTTAGCATTTATTGATATTAACAGTTTATTTATTACCTTGGGAATTAATCTTATATATATAGTTAATCTTGTTAAAAAAAATCTTTACATTTCATCATTATAGTCACAGTACAACTTTTAACCTTTTATTTATAGTTGTTTTAGTATCAATTAATTAAGTTAACTTTTAACCTTGTAAGTTAGTTTTTTTATTTTTTGGAACCATTAAACGTGTTATTGACTTGCCAGTCAAGTTAGCAATGGAACAAGATTTACTAGCTAGGAGAAAAGGTTCAGATGTGAACCTTGTGCAGCAAATAGAAGCAAATGAAGCTCACTATCGCAAGGCACAAGGAACTCATCAGTTTGGACCTGTCAAACCATCATTCAAAGGACCTAGCTAGCAACGTGCTCGTGGTAAGAAAGGACCTCCAAGATCATGCGATATCTGTAGGAAGTTCGGTCACTTCAAAGCCAACTGTCCACAGGCGAAGAACAAGGACGGTCCCAAACGCTCAGAACAAGGAGGATTCGGTAAGCGGGAGTTCATCGGCGTCATTGAGTGCAATGCTGCTACTATTGACGCTGGTGGCTGGTGGATTGATTCGGGAGCTACCCGACATATTGCAAAGACGAAGAAAGGGATATGCGACTTCAATGAGCTAAAAAAGGGAGATCAAAGGATTTACATGAGGAACAATACCTACCTAGATGTTGAAGGTATTGGTTCGTACAGATTGGATCTTGGGGACAACATCATGGTTCTTAAGGAAGTGTTTTATGCACTTGGCATAAAACGTAATCTGATCTTCGTCCCAACCCTTCTGAAGAAAGGCCTTAAATTTAGGTTTTACAATAATAGGGTCTCTATTGGGAAAGACAAGAAAGTGTTTGCTATGGGCAAGTTTGTACGTTAGGTTTTACAATAATAGGGTCTCTATTGGGAAAGACAAGAAAGTGTTTGCTATGGGCAAGTTTGTACCCGAACATGATTTGGGAAAGACAAGAAAGTGTTTGCTATGGGCAAGTTTGTACCCGAACATGATTTGTTCTGTCTTTCTGTTGTGAAACCTGAAATTTACAATAAGAATTATGATTTACTTTATTCCTCGTGTCTTTTATCTGATTTTGATCTATGGCATATGAGACTAGGACACCCTGGTAATAGAAAGACCAGATAATTAAAATGGATTTGTTACCAAATCTGATAGGTGTAAGGATATTACCCTATGAACACTGTTTAACAGGGACAATGACTAGAAAGTCATTTTCTGAAGGTTAGAGGGCAAGTGAACTTTTAGAGTTAGTCCATTCTGACATTTATGGTCCGTTAAGCGTAAAGACACGTGGTAATAAAGAATATTTTATAACTTTCATAGATGATTATTCCAAGTATACTTTTGTGTATATTTTAAACAGAAAATCAGAAGCATTTGAATGTTTTAAAAGATACAAGACAGAAGTAGAAAGGAAACTTGGAAGATATATTAAGGTGTTAAGAACTGATAGAGGTGGAGAATTCAATTCAAAGGAATTTGAAAACTATTATATTCATTATGACATTAAGAGACATACCACTATGTCTTACACGCCACAACAGAATGGTGTGGCTGAAAGAAAATATAGAACATTGATAAATACAGTGAGATGTATGCTGTCACATTCTGGTCTTTCTAAGGATTTTTGGGGAGAAGCAGTATTAGCTCCGAATTATATTTTGAATAGGATTCCTACAAAATCAGTCGAGTAAATACCGTATAAGATTTGGAATGGACACAAACCTGAATTAAGTCATTTAAGAAAATGTGGTTGTATTGCACATGTTCTCATTCCATATTAAGTTAGAGATAAGCTGGATCTCTAAACCTTAAAGTGTAGATTTATAGGCTATTCTGAAAAGTCTAAAGGATATAGGTTCTTTCATGAAGAGAAAGGGGTCATTGAAAGTAGAGATGCTACTTTTTTAGAAAGTCTAGCGAAAAGGGAACAAGTTCAAGAGGCAGTACAACCTCTGCTAGACTTAGATGATGTTCCCAACGATGACCTGGATATAGTGGATGAAGTAAATCATTTAATAATGAAAGATGAGCTCTTAAATCAGAATATGCCTATGGTAAATCAACCAGCTAAACCTGTCCAACCTGTTAACCTTAGTGGTAATAAAAGACCCAGAACAACACCTGCATGGATGGATGATTATTATCTGTATTCATGCGAACCATCATGTTTCTCGGTAGATATTGACATAGATGAGCAAGCTGATCCCTTGAATTATGTGGATGCTATGAGCACACATGAATCAGAACAATGGCTGGAAGCCATGAAAATGGAGCTTGACTCAATAGAGAGAAACAATATATAGGAGTTATGTGACTTACCAGAAGATAGGAAGACCATAGGATGTAAATGAGTGTTAAAGAAGAAATATCGGGTTGATGGGTCTATTGATACATTTAAAGTCCATTTAGTTGCTAAAGGCTTTACTCAGAAGGCAGATATAGATTATCAGGTGACTTACTCTCCGGTGGCTAAGTTTGCTTCTATAAGAATTATCTTAGCAATTATTACACATCTTGACTTGGAACTTTTTCAAATGGATGTCAAGACTGTATTCCTCAACGGAGAGTTAAAGGAAGTAATATATATGAATCAACCTGAGGGATTTCAGGTTGAAGGACAAGAAAACAAAGTATATAAATTGAAGAAATCTTTATATGGTTTGAAACAATCATCTAGACAGTGGTATCTCAAATTTCACAATACTGTTATCTAACTTGGTTTTGTTATAAATAATTGGATAACTGTGTATATGTCTTGAAGAGTGACAGCAGTTTTACAATATTATCCTTGTATGTGGATGATATTTTGCTGGTTGGAAATGACATAGAAGTGCTGAACAGAATCAAGTCAGCACTTAGTAGTGAATTTGAGATGAAGGACATGAGAGATGCATCCTATGTTCTTGGTATACAGATCCTTAGGGATAGAAAGTCTAGAATGTTAAGTTTAAACCAAAAAAGATATTTGCATATAATACTTAGAAGGTTTGGGATGCAGAACTGTAACCCTGCGCCAACACCTTTGGTTATGGGAAAACGGTTGTGTAAAGAACAATGTCCTGAAGAAGGGCAGAAACCGCTTGATGTCCCGTATGCACAAGTTGTTGAAAGCTTGATGTATGCAATATTGTGTACTAGATCAGACCTGACATATCCGGTGAGTTTGGTTAGTAGTATCAAAGTAATCCTGGTCCAGCACATTGGGAGGCTGTTAAGAGATTTTGAAGTACCTGAAAGGTACTGTGCACCATAAGTTAGTTTATCAAGCAGACTCGCTTGAGGTTCTTAGTTACTCCGATGCTGATTTCGGAGGAGACAAAGATGACGGAAAGTCCACTTCCGGACATTTGTTCATCTTTGGTGGTGCAACTGTTTCTTAGGGTAGTAAGAAACAGGGATGTGTGGCAAGATACACACAAGAAGCTGAGTACATAGCCTGTAGTATAGCCACTACTCATGCAGTCTGGATAAGACGGTTCCTTAAGGATTTGGATCTCAATTTGGTGGATGGACCAATTGAGCTATACTGTGATAATCAAGCAGCCATCAACTTGATTAACAGTAGTGCAAACAGTTCTAAAAGAAAACATATTGAGATACAATATCATTATATTCATGATATAGTGGAGAAAGAAGAAGTCAGTGTGACTTATATCCCCACTAGTGACATGATTGTTGATTCCTTGACGAAGGGTATTCCAGTAGGTACATTCATCAAACATGTTGGTTTGATAGGACTTGGAAATATCTAAGTCAATGAAACTTTCATGAATAATGAAAGGAGACAATCATGGATAATGATTGTACTCGGTTTATTCATGTAAAGTGAAAAATGCATATATCTCACGGATAGTGGGAGTATGGAATTACATCTTGAGTCACATCCCACGGATATTGGGAAAGTCCTTGAAAAGTATTTGGCCATTTCGGCAAAGTGGGAGATGTAAGTGGGTTTGGCCTCATGAACCAAATTATAACCCGACCCGGTTGTTGGCTCTGTGATTTCTTCCTTTGGGGAACGAGTCTTACGGAGAGAAGAATATGAGATATCTTAAGAAATCTGGGCGGTTATTTGGGGACGGAGGGGATGGAACGCCTATAAATAGGGAGGAGTTCCTCTCCTCTAAAAATGAAGAAGTCTCCATTCCGAAGTCCCCAGACACAATCAGCGATCTTTCCCATCATTCCTATCCACTTAAGTTTACATAAGATTTTTTTTCTCTCTCTGCACACACACACATATATGTGTGTGTGTCCTTGTGTCTGGATTTTGGAAATTATTGTAGCGGTCTGTCTATTTATCGTTGTTGCCTTTCTTTGATTTGGTTTCACATAGGTAAACGATGCTCCATGAATAGTATCACATTGTCACAATATTAGCGTTGACTCTACTTACGGCCTGTGGATTGTTGATGCATATTAACTGAGAACAAATTTAATGCACCTGAGAACAGATTTGATGTACATTGCACCTATTCCATTTCATAGGAGAGAATCTAATCTTATAATTTATCCAGCTTGAAAGAGGTGAAAGCTTGTTCACATTTGCCAGAGACATGACAATTAGATCTACAAAAGCCTTGGTGCAAACTGCTTCTATTCCAGAAGATCTCGGTCCTTGGAGATCTAAGCTGCTTTGGATGTCCAGGGTTCTACCTATGCCTCTTGTTGGTTTGCTCATCATAGGAAGCGTCTGTGCTCCTGCAGAAAAGCAGCCAGCAGAGTACCCTGAGTTAGAAGCACTCTCTAGGCTTGATGTTGGAGCTGCCTTGAAGATTTTCTTAGCGAAGAGACTCACTTCAGAGTAAGTCTCTTACTTTGTTGATATCCTCTAATGCTTTATGTGTTGCTTAATGAATGACATGCTTGGAATGGTAAACAATGAAGTAATCAGATAATATCATTAAGTCATTGTTAATATTGAATAACAAAGATAGAAACTTTCAACGTAATCACACATTCACGCTCACCACTATTTTCAACGTAACACATACAAATTCATATGACCAGATTGAACGTAATCCATATTCAACATTACCAAATTCAAAGTCCAACCAAAACATACCAGTCACAAGTATATTGAAGTCTGATCATAAATAGTACTAGCAATTTTTTTCTTTTTTCTTTTTGAAATTTCTGAACAGTTTCAAGAAAGTATCGCCTTGAGCTTAAGATTTCTACCAGATTATATTTTTTCCTGATGTCATCATTCTTCAAGTTCTTCCCAAATTAAACTTCAAGGATTGGAATGACATCCTGTTCAATAGTGCACTTTTTGAAACTTTTCATTGCCAACTTATTACCACTCTTCAGTCCTTTATTAAGAGTTGATGCAAGTTATGCAACTCAGAGTCTCAGCCACCATATTATCTTGCCATGGGAAGTTGGGCATGATTCACCCTTGCATCCTTCCCTCTTTCTTCTCCATCCTACTACAAGAAGCATTTATTTTAGAATTTCATCCATGACAGAAGTGCGTAGCACCGTGAATGGGTACTCATGAACTTTTGTTGAAGACGCATTATTTCGATCCTTGCCTCTATAAGTTCCATCGCAACTCATGTTTAACAACACACTTTTTACTGGAAGAAAAGTGACATGTTGCCCTTTTCTGGATGCACATCCATTTCCAATGCCACTGATATTAACTGGAAATGTAATATTGCTCCTTTCTTACATGGAGTACCTACTATTTGGAATTAATAAACTGCTATGTTCATGAAGGTTTACTCAGATGACAGCATCAGTAGAAGAGAAATCAGTAATCATCGGCGAAAGAAACAGAGTAGCCACCGAAGCTCTCCAGAGAGCAATAGAGAATGGTTCCAAGAGAATAGCTGTGCTTTATGGAGGAGGACACATGCCAGACTTAGGCCGTCGATTAAAGGAAGAGTTTGACTTGGTTCCCTCTCAAGTGCAGTGGATAACTGCATGGTCTATAAGAAACCGAGAGCTTGATAACCGCTCCTTTCCATTTCTCAAAAACCTGGCTGAGATCTCCGGCTGGCCTTTGAACCGGTATCAGACATTGGCTTTGTTTATATTCTCGTCAGTTCTTGCTGTGGATCTTTGGTTCTGGGAGCTGTTCTTTGGTACTGTTGTAAATTGGGCTTCTTGGGCTGCTGCTGAAGTAAATATCTTCACTGTAAACATGAGGATCATGTGATTACAACGTAGAAGTCTAGATGCTCAAGTTCTTATTGCATCAGATTACATTCTATTCTTTGACAAGGAAAGACGCGAAGTTTTTATTTGTATACTGTTGTGTAAATACAGTGTTTGTTGTTTCTGTAAGTTACAAAATCATGTTGTACGAGCAGTTGCAGTCCAAGGTTCTGACTCCATATGTATCTGAACAATATTTCTCATTGTTGTTATTTATTTACGGTCAATTTTTGGTTAAATTATGGAGAGAATTTGAATACCTGTGAAGTGATCGGTGTGCTAATTATCAATGTGAAATGCAAGCAGGGGAAAGTAATTAATATATCTTTCAGATATAAAATCTCTTCAGAATCAAAATTTAAACTGTTTCGGATGATATGATTTTGTGGATTCTCTTTGTCAAAAAAATAAGAACTCTTGGTTTAAGATTTTTCATCCTGGCACCAGTGGTCTAGTGGTAGAATAGTACCCTGCCACGGTACAGACCCGGGTTCGATTCCCGGCTGGTGCATTATTACCCTTAAGTATTTTTCTTTTTTCAAAACTTCCCGCTGTATATATTTATACATTACATTTCATAAAGCAAATTGATTAGTAATGCACTTTACTAGCACTCATGGACTTCTGTTTCTAATCGGATGATTTCAGCCCAAACATCTAGAGTGCCGTTAATCGGCCCAATTTACTCAGCTTTTAGATAAGTGTTTTTTTTTTAACACTCCCATTTCAGCAATCGTTTGCGCGGGAAAAAAAAAAAAAAACCACACAGCACTCGAAGAGAGGGTAGAGAGGGAGAGGGAAGAAGAAGAAGAAGAAATGGGAAATCAAAGAGAAGCCAAACCCAAAAGAGAATTCCCAGCATTTCCATTCGATCCGTATTCAATCCAGACCGAGTTCATGAACTTCCTCTACGATTCCCTCTACAACGGCGACAAAATCTCCATGCTCGAGAGCCCCACTGGTAACCCTCTCTCAAATCTCAATCCTTTCCTGCTAGTCTCTATTTCTGAATTTTGGGGGGTTTTGGACTCAGGGACTGGAAAAACCCTAAGCATAATCTGCAGCGCTCTTCAGTGGCTGGTCGATCGAAGGAAAAGCCCTAGTCTCAACGGATCGTTCGCCACGGGGGATGACGAAGAACCCGATTGGATGAGGGATTTTGTAGTTACAGCCCCAGATAGGGCGAAAGCGAGGAAGAGAAGGGAAACCCGAAAGAAGAAACTAGGGTTTGGAATTGGGGATTCTGAAAACAAAAACCCTCATTCAAATCCGAACAAGACCCAAGAAACAAAATCAGTGATTTCAGAGGAGGATGGATCGGAGTTTTTGTTGGACGATTATGAGAGTGAGGATGAGCACGGATGGAAGAGGAAGGGAAGGGAAATTTCAGATTGGAGCAGTAGTGATGACGAAAGTGAAGAAAAGAAGAGATTTTTCCATTACAAGTCGAACACATTCACAGTTATCACAGTTTGTGAAGGAATTTAGAAGGACTACATTTGCTTCTGAACTTAATTTGGTGTGTTTGGGTTCGAGGAAGAATATGTGCAATAATCCTGGTAATTTGAGTGGAAGTTGATAATATATATTTCAATTTGTTGATGGATTATGATAATGGGTTATATCGGGGTTATCGTTTGCAGATGTTGCGAAGCTGGGGAATTCGAATACGATCAACGAGAAGTGCTTGGAGCTGCAGAAGAATTGCAAGAATTCCAAAGCTAAGGTGATCGTTGGTCATTTTCTTTTTCTCTTAGACTTCCATATTTGATTAAATATTTCAAGCTAGTAATTCTCTTTACTTTTCCATCTTTTTTCTATTTAGAACGTAAATATACTCTTGTTTTCTTGCCTGACAATTGAAATCTTCTATCTCTTACCCCGTCTGTGCATCATAGGGTTGATTACTTTTTTAGAGAACAACTTCATATCATTGATTTCACCCATAGAGACCCCTATTTCAAATCATATCAGAAACAGTGAATTATTTCTAGACAATAGTCATGCATATCAAATAAAATGGATAAAGGGTACCACTTCAACAAGAATAGAGTTAGTTAAGAGTTAATTATACACAGCATAAAGATTACGCAAGGTCTGAAAATCATAGTATTAGTTGCGGTCTCAGTTCCTAGCTATCAGTGTCCAGATTTCCAACAGGTTAGAATAAGTTATTCCAATCATAAGCTCTTCAGCCATTAATTTTCATTGTTTCACTTATCATGCTACCAAATCAATTTTCAATATTTCAAACCTTACATCCTTCACATTACCTTTTATTAGCTATTAGCGACTTTTATATGTTGCTATGCCAATATCTACAGTTTTGGCCGGTTTGTCTCAAATGAGATCAATGTTCTTATGATGTGGCCGATAAGTACATTGTATGTGGCTGAGAACTTCATAGCTTGATATAACAAAACAAAGCCCTCATTTACAAGCTTGCACAATCACCCTGACTGAGGAAGTAGAGTCAGCTTCGTTAATAAACTGGGCCGAAGATCTGACAGAGGTTGACTTGCTGGCTTGTGAGTCGCCAACTCCGTAGTTTCTTGCTAACCAGAGGATAGTGACAGCCAATATCCCTATTCCTGCTTGTTTTCTATTCTTCCTGTTCCTGTTACGAGGTGACCTCGGCTCAAGCTGACCCCACACCGAAAGTCGTCAAGCAGTCCTGGGCTTCATCAATCAGTGAGGGGGAAGCCAAAACCTGGCCTCTCTTTGGAACCTCTGACAGCAATTCCATTAGGATATTGAGCTGAAGCTGAAGGCACTACAATAGGATTAATAGCAGATTGCAAAATCAGATAATTAGGACTATGCACTTCCCCAAAATAAGATTTCTCTCTCAGCAAGGGACGTTTTGAGAACACTCTCATAATCCTCCCTTTCCGAATTTCCAAGCAATGTGAGCAGAAATTTGTCCCACAGGAAGTAAATGCCCCTAGTGAAAGAGAAATAATAGACACTAGAAAGCTCTTACTCCCAATCGGTATGAGATAATGCCTAACGAAAGGTCAAAGCAAGAATTTTTTTTTTTTTTTTTTGGGGGGGGGGGGGATTGTCCTCTTTGTGCTTTCCGCATGAACAATGAGACAACAATGTATAGTTTACAATGTCATTCGTATTGGATAAGTGACTTTGTGGAAGAACATGATTCTCTTCCCATATCTTGGGAGATATCCTTTACAAAGTTCAGTGAATTGAACTTAGTTTATATATCTAGTCCTTTTCTGTTTGTTTGATAGTAGTTGCAAAATTATAATCCTCAGTGCCCAGCCTTCTTTTCTACTTATGATGGATCAATGTATACGGGTGCAGACTAATGGCGGGAAGAGTCGCTCAAAGGCTTCTTGTGGTTGTCCAATGTTGAGAAAACAAAATCTGCGAGAACATTTCATAAATGAGGCTTGGGAGCATGATGCTCTGGACATTGAGGATCTCGTGCAGCTGGGGACCAAGATTGGTACTTGCCCATACTATGGCTCTCGTGATATGGTGCAAGAAGCTGATGTTGTGGTCCTTCCCTATCAAGCTCTTCTCTTGCAATCTGCTCGGGAGTCACTTGGTTTGAATTTGAAAAACAATGTCATTATTATAGACGAGGCGCATAATTTGGCAGACTCCCTCACTAGCATGTACAACTCAAAAATCAACATACCACAGGTATTAGTCCCATATTTTCTTCCCTCATACTTATTATCATCAATATCCGTTTGTGATATATAGGTTTAGTTGGCTTGTGAGTTTGTGCTTTCAGAAGTACAACAAAAATGTTTTGAGACTTCTAAGTCAATTTTGAAGCTCAAACTCGTGAAACTGTTTTAATATATTTAATTACTGAATATAACTTCTCCATCTGGTTAAGTTGAATGTATCATGAATGGTTTCGGCCCTGAGTCTCATTATTATGAAAGGTTATTTGCATATATACCCCTCAAATCATGGGTACTTGCAAAAATACCCCCCAAATCTTAGTATTTGCAAAACTGCCCCTCAAAAATACCCCTAAAATTATCAACTTTGTGAAAAAATAACCCTAAAACCAACAAATCATCAACTTGGTGCTAAAAAATTGACTATTTTTTTAATATTTATTTACATTGCGATTACAAATTATCTTACCAAAGTTGATGATTAATTGTTTTGAGAGTGATTTTTTTAATTGTGAGGGGTAAGTTTGCAAATACTGAGATTTGGAGGGTCTTTTTGCAAAATACCCATTATTTAGGGGTATATACGCAAATAACCCTATTATAAAACTGGAAAAGTTGCCTCTCCTACAAAAAAATGGACAAGTTGCCTCCTCTTAAACTTGGAGAACTATTTGTTTCACACCAACTTTTTTCGGTTGACTTTGATTGATACATATGGTTTGGTTGTGGTTCAATTTCAATATATACCTTAAAGAAAGAACAGTTATATAGCTTAGTTGTGACATTTTTTTATTTTTCAGTTGAAGCAGGTCCTCTCCTGTCTTGAGAAGTATCTTGACAGATTCAGAATTCTTTTGGGAGCTGGAAATAGACGATACATACAGACCCTGATAGCATTAACTAAGTCTTTTCTTCAATTATTGCTTGGCTACCAGGAGGAATCTGGTGATGTCTCGATGACTATAAATGAGTTCATGTTTTCTCTTGATATTGACAACATTAACTTGGTAAAGCTTCATCGCTATGTGAAGGAAAGCAACATTATTCATAAGGTACGCTAATTTATCCGACTGAATTCCATTCATCCATTCATGCATTTATTTACTAGTGGATGATATGTGACATTTTTTCAGATTAGTGGATATTCAATGAAATTGGTCTGCTCAGAGACTTCAATCATGCATGTTGAGAGCCAGACCCATATTGCACAAGGCAGCGTTGTTTCAGGCTTTCAGGCATTACTTGATATCTTAATTTCACTCATAAATAATGACAGTGAAGGAAGGATAATTGTTTCAAGGCAAAAGTTTCCTCATTCTGGGCAGAGTGAAGAAGGCCACATTAAATTTGTCATGCTTTCTGGAGAGAGAATCTTCTCTGAGGTCTTGTTCATCGATTATATTAATCTATAAAAGTATCAGAGAACTTGCATAGTCTAATAGGAAAAAAAAGTATATTAAATGAATCTTTTTGCAGATTATGTCTCAAGCATATGCTATTGTTTTGGCTGGGGGCACTCTACAACCTATCGATGAGACAAGGGTACGCTTGTTCCCTGGACTTTCTGTTGATCAGGTTAAATTCTTCACTTGCAAGCATATCGTTCCTCCAGAAAGTATATTGCCCATTGCAGTTTCTCGCGGGCCTTCTGGCAAGGCTTTTGATTTCAGTTTCAACTCTAGAAGCTCTCCATGTATGGTTAGTGCTGAACTCTTATCTTTTCTTTTAGCTTCTCAATGGCATTTTGTTTAAAGAGAGAGTTTCACTATATTCTACAGCAAAGTTTGTTAGGGAATTTTGTATTTCTTTCCGTGACCTTTGTCAGATGAAAGTAGATTTTAATTAGAAGTTCAATAGAGTAGGGTTCATGAAATTCTTTAGAAGTAACCTTGATCATTAACAAATTCGTAAAGCTTTGAATTCGAGCTGGAAGCTATAAATTACATTGAATAAAACAATTTCTCGCACTTGATAAATTTTGTATGCTGAAATTAGTTTGTTCGTGTTCTTGAAGCTGATATATTTATCCTTTTAACATATATTTTTCTTTTCCAGATAGAAGAGCTAGGGCGATTGCTTGCAAATCTCGTTACTGTCATACCTGAAGGAATTGTTATGTTTTTCTCTTCATTTGACTATGAAGGGCAGGTATATGATGCATGGAACTTTTCAGGCATTCTTCCAAGAATTCTCAAGAAGAAACATCTATTTAGAGAACCTAGGAGCAATAATGATGTTGAACATGTACTTAATGAATACAAAGAAATCATAACATCTTCACGTGGTATTAGAAAAGAAGATCCAGGACCAAATGGGGCTTTGCTTTTAGCTGTTGTTGGTGGAAAGATTTCTGAAGGTATAAACTTCAGTGACGGTATGTGTCGTTGCATTGTTATGGTTGGACTTCCCTATCCAAGTCCATTGGATGCAGAACTGATGGAAAGAGTAAAGCATATAGAAAGGCTTGGAGAACCAACCTCATGTAGACCCAGAGAGCCTTCCAATGGCACATTGTGTGTCCATACTACAGTTCAGTCTGGTTTTGAGATCTTAAGAAGCTGTAAGCAAAGAGGAAGGGAATACTATGACAACTTGTGCATGAAGGCTGTAAACCAATCAATAGGTATGCACATTCATAAATTTATAGGCACAAAAATTTGTTATATAATGCTAATTTTCTTTCCTTATTGCTTTCTACAGGTCGAGCAATTAGGCATATAAATGACTATGCCGCAGTTTTGTTGGTCGACTCACGTTATGCATCCAATTCATCAAATCATAATATCTTACACCCTACTGACAAGCTTCCTCTGTGGATAAAGGAGCGCCTTGTTTCTGCAACAGAAAACTATGGAGAAGTGCACAAGTTACTTCATCAGTTCTTCATATGCAATAAACAGAGGGGGTGTAGATAGAAGTTCCAACATAAAAAAGAAAGTTTGAGATTGTACAGTGATTTTCTCTTGATACCTCTGAGTGGATTCCTCGATCTGACACATGATTGAAAAACTTCTGAGGAGGGAGTTCAGTTACTGAGGTACATACATTAACCTGTATCTCTATAAATGTTGCATTGCACTAGCTTGATATACCTTGGTTTGATGAATGTCCATGCTCAATATTGACATTTGATCATTGAAATTTTAACCCTTACGAAATCAGCAGTTTCTTTGCTTCTCAGACGTACATGTTTCCTTCATGGCCACTAGTTTTATAAGGATTATATGGTTACATAACCATTTAAAAGTTGTTTGCGAATTTATTTAGTTCAATATGACTATGAATTTGTATTTCCTTCTTTCTAACTTCTTTCTTCTAATTAAAAAAGATGGATGCATATTCTTTTGAACAGGAAAGAGCGCACAAACTTCCTCAATTCTTTTCATCCTCTTCCCTTGGCACTGAAGAGGAAAGAAAGGTCATATTACCTTTCCACTTAAATTGCTCCCGCAATAGAGTTTCCTGTCCTTTCAGAATGTTTTTTTTTTAAATTTCTTTTTATTTATATCTTTTAAATAGCTATCTTTTTTTGACAGTAACTCTGGCATTCTGTCATGTTTATATTTATTTTAAGTAGTTTCTTTAGTTTGTTTATTATTATTATTGTTGTTGCTGTTGTTACTACTACCTCTCCTCTACCCGGTACTCTCTATGACGGACATGCATCACTATTATACTTTATTTTGAGAAAATAGGAATTCACAGTAAAATAATCCTTTCCCAAATGCTTCAGATGGTCCCAGTGGCGGAGCTAGGACCTGCGAGATAGTGATGGCAATAAATTGTAAATAAATAAAATATAATATCCACTAAAATAAATCTATTAAAATATTCTAATACCAAAAGAAAGGCATTTTACGATTGTCCTCAACGAGTTTTCATATTTTAAAATTATTTTATAGTTAACTCATTATCAATCATATCAAATACATTTGTCAATAAAAGTAACAAAAAGAATCATTCAACCGGCTATCTCCCATTTGATTGTGCAGCCAAACCGTAATAATTTTCACAGTTGACATGCTGTTTCTTGGCACTAGATACGGTAGATCATAAGATTCAGAATTTGATTGTTAGTGTTGGTCAAAAACATCAAGCCACAAAAGTGTAGCTAGCGTGTTGACAATGACAGTGCTTGGTTGAAAAATTGAGTGCTAAATGAGAAACAAACAAGAATGGCCGCAGTTTTTTGACAAATATCCATCAGAAGAAGTAGAGGGGTTAGAAGAAGATATCACGAGTTGAAATCTTTTGTTTGTCAAATAAAGAGGCCGGTTTTGTTTTTCTTTTGTTTGTCAACAAACATGAGGCATGATTGGTGGTCTTATGAAGCCTATAAATCCCTTATCCTCTCTGATATCAAAATAATCAACGAACAGAGCTTGAGAGACAGAGAGTGAAAGCCACACGAGAAATCTGTGAGTTCTCAATATTTTGTATGAGTGTTGTATGTTGAGAAAGAAATATAGTGATACACCCTCTTGCCGTGGACGTAGATCAATTTGATCGAACCACGTAAATATTGTGTTTGTGATTGTCTTTCTATTTCCTGGTTCTGTGTTTAAATTATCTTAACAAACTGGTATCAGAGCTTCTCGGTTCTAGGACAGCTTTCAATCCTCTACAATGGCTTCCGTAAAGTTTTCGGTGTCGATCTTTGATGGCCAGAACAATTTCAGCCTATGGAGGATAAAGATGAAGGCTTTGTTGCGACGTGAAGGCACTGTTAAAGCTATCGACGGGAAATACCCAGAAGATATGACTAGTGCCGAGATTGAAGAGATGGACGAAAAGGCTCACAACGCCTTACAATTGTCACTATCCGACAATGTGTTTCGTGAAGTTGCCGATGAGGAAACGGCGGCGGGGTTGTGGTCAAAGCTCGAAAGTCTCTACTTGAAGAAATCTCTTACTACGAGATTATACCTGAAGCAGCGGCTATACACATTGAAGATGAATGTAAGAACACCCAATAGAATCCAAAGAACTCAAAGAAATCAGATTTTTCTTTAAGTCCGGGATGTGTCTCACATCTGATAAAGTTCTCACTATCCCATCGTGACACCGGATGCGAACTGTACCAATGCCAACTGTCTTGCAAACTGCATTGTTGCCCATCAAAACTGATCCACCACTTATAGATCTGTAAGTAGTGAACCAATCTTTATTTGGACACATATGAAAAGACGCTGATGAAATTTGTCCCTTGGATACTGCCGTTGTTGCTGAGATGGTTCTTGCAGTATGTCCCTTGGATGGCCGTTCCGATAGAGAATGGATCTTGGATACAGGTGCGTCTTTTCATATGTGTCCAAATAAAGATTGGTTCACTACTTACAGATCTATAAGTGGTGGATCAGTTTTGATGGGCAACAATGCAGTTTGCAAGGCAGTTGGCATTGGTACAGTTCGCATCCGGTGTCACGATGAGATAGTGAGAACTTTATCAGATGTGAGACACATCCCGGACTTAAAGAAAAATCTGATTTCTTTGAGTTCTTTGGATTCTATTGGGTGTTCTTACACTGGCGAAGGTGGAGCTCTTAGAGTTACTAAGGGTTCATTGGTTGTAATGAAAGGTAGTAAGGTGAACAGTCTTTATGTTCTCCAAGGCAGTACGGTGACAGGCTCTGCAAGTGTGTCCTCTGATGCTGATAGGGACACTACTCAGTTGTGGCACATGCGCTTAGGCCACATGAGTGAGAAGGGGATGACTATTTTGAGTAAACGTGGCTTACTCTGTGGTGATCATACATCATCACTGGATTTCTGTGAGCATTGTGTGTTTGGGAAGCAAACTCGGGTCAGCTTCTCGACTGGCTCACATACGACGAAGGGCACTCTCGACTACATCCATTCAGATTTATGGGGACCTGCTCAGGTTCCATCCAAAGGTGGTGCTCTTTATTTTCTGACGTTTATTGATGATTTTTCCAGGAAAGTTTGGGTTTACTTTCTCAGGCGCAAAAGCGAGGTGTTCGAAACTTTCAAGAAGTGGAAAGTACTTATTGAGAATCAAACTGGAAAGAAGATTAAACGTCTCCGAACAGATAATGGCCTAGAGTTCTGCAATGGTGAGTTCAATCAGTTCTGCTCAAATTCTGGGATCGTACGACATCGCACGGTCAGGCACACTCCTCAGCAAAATAGGGTGGCAGAACGCATGAATAGAACATTGACGGAGAGAGCTAGGTGTCTGCTCTCAAACTCTGGGTTAGATAAAGACTTCTGGGCTGAAGCTGTTAACACAACTTGTTACTTGGTGAACTGGTCTCCTTCTACCGCCATTGAACACAAGACTCCAAACGAGGTATGGTCAGGTAAACCAAATGACTATTCAAATTTAAAGGTATTTGGATGTCCCGCTTACTATCATGTTAGAGAGGGTAAGCTTGAGCCTAGAGCTAAGAAATGCATATTTATTGGTTATGCTGATGGCGTTAAAGGCTATCGTTTGTGGAGTCTTGAACCTGATTCTCCTAAATTCATTATTAGTAGAGATGTTACTTTTAATGAAAGATATATGCTTGATCATGGGAAGGTTTCTGTTGAGTCTACAGGAAATGTAGAGAAGACCATGGATAAGGTGGAGCTTCAGGTGGAGCTCGAGGGAGAGACGTCTCAAAAGTCGTCTATAAAATTTGCTCCTACAGCTGTAGAAGAGCAACATGATTCAGGCTCAGATGCTGATGATGCTGAGACTGAAGAACCTTATTCCATAGCCACTGGCAGAGAGAGGAGACAGATCAAACCTCCTCAAAGATATGCACATGCTGATTAGTGGCGTATGCTCTCACGACAGCTGAAGAGATGAGTATTCAAGAGCCATCAAACTTTACTGAAGCTGTCTCATGCAAAGAATCTGGACGCTGGGCCACGGCTATGACAGAAGAACTCGAGTCACTCTACAAGAATCAGACTTGGGATTTGGTGCAATTACCTAAGGGTAAAAGGGCAATTGGATGCAAGTGGATTTTTAAAAAGAAAGAAGGGATCCTAGGGGTTGAAGATGCTAGATTCAAAGCACGATTGGTAGCTAAGGGTTATAGACAAAATGAGGGAATTGACTATGATGAAGTGTTTTCTCCGGTTGTTAAGCATACCTCCATCCGTGTATTGCTTGCCATAGTTGCTCTATTTGATCTGGAGCTTGAGCAGCTTGATGTGAAGACTGCATTTTTGCATGGCGAACTTGAGGAGACTATCTATATGTCTCAGCCAGAGGGATACATTGTAGAAGGTAAAGAAGATCAAGTTTGCAGATTGAAGAAATCTTTGTACGGCCTGAAGCAATCTCCCAGACAGTGGTACAAGAGGTTTGATAATTTTATGCTTAGTCATGGGTATTCAAGAAGTACTTATGATAGTTGTGTGTACTACATGCATCTAGGAGATGATTCTTTTATTTATCTTCTATTATATGTCGATGACATGTAAGAACATGTCACAGATTCTTATTTTGAAGAAACAACTCAGTGATGAGTTTGAGATGAAAGATCTTGGTGCAGCAAAGAAGATCTTAGGTATGGAGATCAGGAGGGAAAGGAAAGCTGGAACTTTATATCTCTCACAGAAGAGTTATATTGAAAAGGTGCTTGAACGCTTTGGGATGAAAAGGGCCAAACCCGTTACGACTCCTTTGGCTCCTCACTTTAGGCTCTCGGCTTTAGATTCACCTACAAGTGAGAACGAGAAGAAGGAAATGTCCAGAGTTCCATACTCTAATGCAGTGGGTAGCTTAATGTATGCTATGATTTGCACTCGTCCAGACATTGCCCAGGCAGTCAGTGTAGTGAGCAGATACATGGCTCAACCAGGAAAGACACACTGGGAAGCAGTAAAGTGGATCCTACGGTATCTCAGGGGTACCTCAGAATTGGGTTTAGTTTTTGATAGCAATACTTTGGGAACCTCTGTTGTAGGTTTTGTGGATTCTGACTATGCAGGTGATCTCGATAAAAGGAGATCTTTGACTGGTTATCTTTTTACTCTTTCTGGCTCAGCTATTAGTTGGAGATCGACTCTACAGTCGACAGTTGCTTTGTCTACCACAGAGGCAGAATACATGGCAGCAGCAGAATCGGTAAAAGAGGCCATTTGGTTGAGAAATCTCGTGAGGGAGCTTGGACTTCTACAGGAGGCTAGTTCAGTTGTATTTTGCGACAATCAGAGCGCAATACATCTAAGCAAAAACTCAGCACATCAGATTCCTTATGCTTCGGCTGTAGGAAGTCTAATGTATGCTCAGGTATGTACGCGTCCGGATATTGCGTACATTGTTGGGATGTTAGGCAGATACTTAAGCAACCCTGGTATGGATCATTGGATAGCAGTCAAAAGGGTTATGAGGTATCTTCAGAAAACAAAAGATTACATGCTCACATACAGAAAATCAGAGAAATTAGAGGTCATTGGGTATTCGGACTCTGATTTTGCTGGATGCCAAGATAGCAGGAAGTCTACATCAGGCTACATTTATATGTTAGCAGGAGGAGCTATATCATGGAAAAGTGTCAAACAAACACTAGTAGCTTCCTCCACTATGGCAGCAGAATTTGTAGCTTGCTATGAGGCATCCAATCAGGGAAT